CGGTGGCGGCTGGTGGTGCGGCTAGGGCGTCGGGCGGTGCTCCTCCCTTGTCGGGTGCGCGGGTTCGGGGTGAAGTGCGGGCGGCAGCATCTGAAAAAGAAAGAAAAGTTTTAATAAAACCGGCTGAAGGGTCGGAGGTCGTGAGTAGCGTGATAGTCCAGGAGGAGATGACCAAAATTTTGAGAAATGAATTGAAGAACGTGAAGGTCCGAGGGATGAGAAGGACAAAGAACCCTGGAATACTCCTGGAGGCGGCGGATGGGGCCGAGGCGACCAAGATCCTCGGGTGTAAAAAAATAGCTGAGGCGGGATTCAAAGTTGAAAGGCCGAGGGAATTTGCGCCTGCGGTCCAGATATACGATGTACCGGTGGAACTAGGAGACGATGCGGTGAAGGAAGACCTTTACAACCGAAACCTAGAGGAGAAGGGTATAGTTCGAGGAGACTTCATGCGGGATGTCAGAGTGGTTACCCGTATGGGAAGGAAAGAGGGGGTAAGTGCCATTATTTTGGAGACCCCGCCAAACGTTTGGCAGCATTTGTTGGGGCAACAACGCGTATACATAGACAGAAGGGTTTGTCGGGTGGTTGATTACGTTCAGGTTACGCGCTGTTTCAAATGCCTGGACTTCGGGCACATTGCGCGCGCGTGTACGGGCGAAGAAACGTGTAGGCACTGCGCGGGGGTAGGCCATAACGAGAAGGACTGCGACGCGAAAGATAAACCGCCGCGATGCAAATTGTGCGTGGGCAGGGGACGGCCGTGTGAACACCCCACCACTTCAAATAAGTGCCCTGAATTCGAGAGGCAGATCCGGTTGCGACGCGAAAAAACCACGTACATTCAGTCTTAGGGTCATGCAACTGAATTGTCAGAGGTCACGGGCAGTGATGGGGGAGGTGATGAAGAGTGCGGTGGAGAGGGGAGTGGACGTGTTGCTCCTGCAGGAGCCATATTTTTCGCGCGACGTGGAACGGTCTATTATCGGTATGGGGCGGTTGATCAAGGGCGCGGGTGAGCCTGTTGGGGCAGCCATTGTGGTGATGAACGATGAGATGGTGGTGACCGTGTTAGGCGTTCACGCGTGCGCGAATGTTGTCTGCGTGGCGTGCGAAATTGGTGCGGTAAAAACGGTATTCGTATCGATGTACTGCCAGTATCGTGATGGCATAGAGTCCTACATCGATAGGCTTGATGCGTTAGACCGCCAGTTCGGTGGCGGGTCGGTAGTGGTGGCCATGGATGCCAACGCGAGATCTCCGTTGTGGCACGACAGACTGCTGGATGAGAAGGGCGAGCTACTCCAGGAGTTCATACTTACCAGCGGGATGCATCTACTTAACGAACCTGGACAGCGTTGTACGTTCGCGACCAGCAACGGGGAGTCGAACATCGATATCACGCTAATCGGGTCGGGTTTGCTCGGTTCGGTTTCGGGCTGGGAGGTTATTGATGATACGTCCTCGGATCATCGTGCCGTGCTGTCTGTCTTCTCGGTGGGCGTACCTGCAAAAGAAAAGAAAATTATTATTAATAGCGTCAAAAACGTAGATTGGGGTAAGGTCGAGGAGCTGATTTGCCGGTCGTTCGGTCGGGGTGACGTGGTGCGGTTGTCGGGGTGTGATGACGTGAATGCGTTGGTCGAATGTGTTCGAAGGAAAATCGTGGAGGTGATGCGCGTTACGGTAAAGTCGCGGACGGTCGGGAAGCGGAAGTGCCGGTGGTGGACTGCGGACCTGGGAAGAGAGAGGGAGCTGCTTAGAGGCCTTCGAAGGGAATTCCAGAGGGAGAGAAGATCTGGGGGAGTCAGGGTCGACCGACTGAGGAGGTTGCTCAGGGTTAGGCTAAATGCATATAAACAGATGATCGTGGCAGCGAAGAAGAAGGGGTGGGCGGATCTTGTCGAGANGGCACGGACTGGGGGAATCCGACTGTCTAATTAAAACAAAGCATTGCGATGGCCCCTGCGGGTGTTGACGCAATGTGATTTCTGCCCAGTGCTCTGAATGTCATAGTGAAGAAATTCAAGCAAGCGCGGGTAAACGGCGGGAGTAACTATGACTCTCTTAAGGTAGCCAAATGCCTCGTCATCTAATTAGTGACGCGCATGAATGGATTAACGAGATTCCCGCTGTCCCTACCTACTACGTATGTACGGGTATGTACGAGTATGTACGGAAACTTTGGGAAACAAAGCCCGGAGTCCTGAAAGATCTCTACAATAAATGTTTAGAGAAAAGGGTCTTCCCGGCTGAATGGAAGAGGGCGGAGGCGGTGATGATCTTAAAGAAGAAGGGAGACCTGTCAAACGTAAAGGCATACCGCTTGATTTCGCTGCTCCCGGTGTTGGGGAAGGTCTATGAGAGAGTGCTATGGAGAAAAATAGATGAATGTTACCGGTCCAACGTGGGGCACAGTGGGAAACAGTTCGGATTCAGGGAGGGGCTGGGCACGGTGGATGCGCTGCGTAGAGTGCGTGCAGTGGTGACGCGATGCGAGACCCGATACGCTTTGGGTATCTTCATCGACATCGCGGCCGCGTTTGACACGGTGTGGTGGCCGAGTGTGCTCGCGAGGCTCCGCGGCGCGCGGATTCACCAGAACGTATATGAGGTGATTCGGGACTACTTCCGTGGCAGAAGTATCGTCATAACATCGTCGGCGGGTAGTGTGACTCGCGGTATGACAAGAGGATGCCCACAGGGTTCGGTGCTGGGTCCCAGGTTTTGGAGCCTGCTGCTGGATGAGCTGTTGGAGATGGAGTTTGATGGGGCTGAGTTAGTGGCGTACGCCGACGACATCCTCGTGTTGGTGGCGGCGGAGAGTCGATCGGAACTCGAGGGGCTCGGGACGGCGGCGCTGGGGCGGATCCATGCCTGGGTGGAGGAAAAGGGTCTACGGATCTCTGAACCTAAAACAGAGATGATGCTGTTGAAAGGATGTCTGAAAAGAAAACCAATACTTAAACTTGGGGGTAAGTCTATTAAATACTCACCATCTGTCAAATACCTAGGTGTCATCCTGGATGAAAAATGGACATTCCTGCCGCACCTTGATGACGTCAGGGCCAGGGTGGTTATGTTTGTGGCCAAATTGAAAGGCATAATGAGGACTGAATGGGGCCTAGGTAGAGACGCTCTGCAAGTAATATACAAAGGATTGTTCCTGGGAATTGTACTATATGGTGTCCAGGTGTGGGGGGAGAGACTTGGTAACTCTCACCTAAGACGAAAGCTGGCATCTATTCAGAGAGTGATGCTAATGGCCATGATGCCCCTGTGTCGTACGGTGTCGACGGAGTCCCTCAGCGTCCTGGCTGGATGTCCGCCGTTGGAGCTGGAGGCTGCAGGTCGATACGTGGGTTTTTGTAAGCTGAAAAATGAAAGTAAGTTAGTACTAGGTATACAATGTAACGTAGTGGTTAACAAAAAGAGTCTCGTCAAGAGGGAAATTAATAAAAAAGTAATGGCCGTGTGGCAGACTGGGTGGGATAACTCTGACAGGGGTAGGGCTACTTACCTGTTTATCCGCAAGGTTAGAGATAGATGGCCCAGTTGGCTGAGGATTGGACTCCATCTAGGTTTCGCCCTAACCGGGCATGGGCCGATACGAGAAAACCTCAGAAGATTAGGCTTGGAGGAGTCGGAGCGGTGTGTGTGCGGGGAGGTTGAGTCTCTCTTGCACATGCTGGGGGAGTGTAGTATTTATACAGAAGAACGGGCCCAGTATCTCCGGTCACAGGGCCTGAACGATTGGAGCATGGTAAGGCTAGAAAGTGTACTTAAAAGTAAACAAAAGTATGTTGATTTTAAATTGTTCGTCGACCTAGTGTTTACCAAGCGACGTGGTTTGTAGTGTTTGTGACGGTTATTGACTTATTAATTTATTACTTTATTTTGTACATGGTAAAGAGTATTTGTTTATAATGTTTTACAGTTTTTATTTATACAATTTTAGTAATTTATTCGGAACGAGACTGTGATAGTTGCTATAATTTATTTTATACCAACCTAAAGGGACTCTCGATGACTCGTGGTGGTGTCTCTCGGCCAGTCTGGGCCGCGAGTGTATAATACTTACCTGGCGGACTCTGGTGGCTGCCTGGTCATAACTGCTGGTTGAATCCGGTGGGCGTCGGGAATCTGAAACAGAAAATAAAAGTTAATAGGTATAATAAGGTAATGTTATTTTGTTTGTTGTATATGCAGATGAGATGTGAGTGTTACGGATGTACTGGGGACCCTCCTTCTGGTGGGGCGTCCATTGCTCATCGGGGCTGAAGGCTTGGGGGCGGTGCTGTCTCGGCATCGCTGGCTTCCGCTTGGTGGTCGGGGGGGCTGCTGCTGCCGGTGCACGGATCCCTTCCCTCAGCTCTGTCGAAACCTCCTGCTGGCTTAAGTGCTGGGGAGACGGAGACAGGGCGAGGGGGGCTTCGGACCCGTGGGGGTCGTGTGACCGGGGGGCTGTGCGCCCTTGGGTACCGGGGGGGCGGCGTGCTGGGCTGGTGGGCCGCGGTTCGAGGTGGAGGCTCCGAGAGTGAGGTTCGTCGCGGTGAGGGGGTGTCCGGGAGCGAATGGGCGGGGTGGTGAGTATGCTGTTTAATGTTGTGTACTGCGTCGGTCTTCGTTTTGTTTAGGCAGAGATGTATGGGCAGTGGTTTCGCTGGTACGTGGGGCCCCGCCTCCACGTGGCAGGGATGGTAACTCCTCCCCCAGGGGAGGAGGCTAAGTGGGCGAGTATAAATGAGACCGTGAGTTTGGGGCGGTAATGGGCTATGCCCTGGTGCCGCATGTTGTGTTGAGTATGTTGTGTGTGTGTGTGTCCCTACCTACTATCTAGCGAAACCACTGCCAAGGGAACGGGCTTGGAAAAATTAGCGGGGAAAGAAGACCCTGTTGAGCTTGACTCTAGTCTGGCAATGTAAGGAGACATGAGAGGTGTAGCATAAGTGGGAGACTTTGTCGACGTTGAAATACCACTACTTTCATCGTTNGTAAACGGCGGGAGTAACTATGACTCTCTTAAGGTAGCCAAATGCCTCGTCATCTAATTAGTGACGCGCATGAATGGATTAACGAGATTCCCGCTGTCCCTACCTACTAACCACGCCTGGTGGTTCTCGCATTGCATGTTAGCCATGTATTATGGTAGTGCGAGAGCCTCCAGCCGGTCCCAAGCCCGGATAAAGTGGGAGGGGTGGGGTGGCGACCATCTGCCACCCATGAGGGACTAAGTTCCGTGCAGTCCCCCCTCGTGGACGGGGTTAAGTCTACCGCCGTGTGTCGCCGTGCGGTGCGACCCGTGTCGCCTGGGAAGGGTGTGCTGGTGGTTGAGGGAAGCTGGGAGCTGCGGCACCAGTGGACCAACACACCACTTTGCCCCTGGATTGGGCTAGACGGGAGGCGCGAGTTTTAAGGCCGGCTCGCGTCAAGCGGCCAGTGGAAATTACATCTAATCTGCGAGGCTTAGTGGGCGTTGGTGTGGGCGAAAGGCTGGTAGTGTGGGCAGTGCGGTGTTTTCTTGGTGCCGCCCGTCTCACACACATGCTGGCTCGTAGTGTTGCACCGGGTCTGCTATACCAACCTTGTAGGACTATGCGTGCTGGTGGGTTTGCCGCTGGCAGCATGCTAGTTAGCCGTCCGTGGTGGCGGGTCCGCGAGGGAGGTGAAGAATAAAAATTTAAAATGAGTAGTACGGCAAAACCCAAGATTGAAGGTGGTAAAGGAGTGAGGAAGGAGGGCAATATCAGGAAGGAGAGTGGGAAGGAGAAGGAGAGAGAGGGAGAGGAGGCTGGAGTAGGTGTGGGAGCAGAGGAGGAGGTGTATGCCTTTGGTAGAAGAGGAAGCGTGCAGAGGTCTCCGCCGAAGGTGTTGCAGTTGGTGGAAAGGATGGAGGAAGCGGTGAGGCCGGTGGCTGCGGCTTATGAAGATGAAGGTGCTGTCCCAAGAAATAGATCCGCATCGCTGTCATCTGCAACAGAAAGGAAGAGAAAGAAGTGTGAAATGGATGTTTCGTTAGATCCTGAAAAAGTTGATGGTACTTCCCTTGAGCGAATGAGGGCGGTAAAGAGGGATCTGCAGCAGTTCCTCATAAATGATCCGGCGAAACTCTCGAAAAATACGAGAATTAATATCCTGGAAAGGTTTAACAAAGTTGAAGAATTATTTCAAGAAATGGTTATCGAAAGTCAGGTAAATAAAAGATTGATTGAAGATCTGAAAATGAAAATAAACTTACCTGCGGTGGTGGCGGCTCCGTCCTTTGCCAGGGTGGTCTCGTCGCGTGTTCAACCTGAAACAGAAGAGAAGAATGTTATCATAATTAGAGGAAAAGAGGAAAGTATGTTGAATAATAGTGAGCTGGTGAAAAAGGCGGTTTGTGATGAAATGGTGAAAGGATTGAAGACAGTTAAGATTAGAAATTTAAGAAAGATAAGGGATAATGGGGTGGTAATTGAAACGGAAACGAAGGAAGATTTGGAAATTATTAAAAGAAGTGGTAAACTGACGGAAATGGGTTTGAAGGTAGAGGCTCCGAAGAAATCTGGTCCGACTGTTATTATTTACGACGTTGAGAAGGATGTTAGTACGGAAGAATTGATAAATGAAATAGCGGAGAGGAATCTGGGAGTGACGGCTGAGGAGATCAAGGCGGAGGTTAGGATAAGATCCAGGGATGTTAGGAGGGAAGGGAATAGGGATAGGAGTAACATAATTCTGGAGGTTTCTCCAAGGATTAGGAGGGGACTGGTTTGTAGAGGCAGGGTTTTCGTGAGGAGTTTCTCTTATAAGGTCAGTGATATCGTGTTGGTTCTTCGTTGTAATAAGTGTCTAGCGTTTGGACATGTAGCCAGATTTTGCGAGAGGAATGCGGTGTGTAGAGTGTGTGGAGAAGAGGGGCACGTGGGGAAGGATTGTGTGAATAAGGAAAAGCCTAAAACGTGCCCGAATTGTAGGTTGCGAAACAGGGATGCCAGGCACTCGGTACTAGATACAGAGTGTCCGGAATATAGAAGAGCTTTGGAGATGAGTAAGTCGAGAATTGATAATGGCTGATAGGATTCGATTTCTGCAGGTAAATTGTAGGGGTGCGAAGGTGGTTATGAGTGAGGTGTATGAGCGTGCTTGTCAGGAGAGAGTGTCTGTGTTGTTGTTGCAAGAGCCGTATGTGTATGCTGGAAGGGTTAGAGGATTGGGTGCGGGATGTAGGATAGTTAGTGCGAGTGAGGGACAGGTTGGGGCGGCGGTGGCGGTGCTAGATGATGAGTGGACAGTGACAGCGGTGACTTCTCGGATAACTGAGAACTGTGTATGTGTTGTATTGGAGCGTATTGGATTCAGGGTTGTGGTAGTGTCGCTGTATTGTCGGTATTCGGATCCGGTCGAGACATATATTCGGATGATTGAGGAGATTATGGATAAGTACAGGGGCGAAAGATTACTCATAGGTACCGACGCCAATGCCAGGTCTCCTATGTGGTTCGATGTGGTTTTGAATGACAGTGGTGTTTTGTTCCAGGAGTTTGTCCTGAGGAATGATATCTTTATAGTGAATGAGGTCGGGCAGCCGTTCACCTTTGTTACGGAGAACGGATGCTCGAATATCGATCTTACTTTAGCGAATGGGCGGTTGGTTAGGTCTGTGGTAGGGTGGAGGGTGCGCGACGATACGTCTTCGGACCATCGTTCGTTGTACTTCGACGTTCTCTGTGGGGCGGCCGATCGGATCTGTAACAGAAAGAGTGAATTAATGTACGATGTGAAAAAAGTGGATTGGGTTGTCTTTAGGGCTAAGTTGAGGGAGAGTTTTGGTGAGTGGCAGGATGATGGGAGTAAGGGTTTGGATTCTGTGGTGGAGAGTTTGTCAGATGGGCTGATGAATGTTGTGAGGAGTGTGATGCCGAAGAGGAAATTGAGGAAAAATGGAGTGAGGTGGTGGAGGCGAGAATTTGATGCGGACAAGGCTATGATAAGGAGATTGGCCAAGGACGTGCAAAAGGGTAGGAGACTGGGATGGGGTGAGAATACGATGGAGGGATTGAGGATGCACTTGAGACGTGTTAGGAATGATTATAAGGACAAGATCATTAGGGCAAAGAGGAAAGACTGGAGGGGTTTTGTGGAAAGGAATTCGGGTGGGGACCCGTGGGGTATCCTCTATAAACTGGTTACGGAGAAGAAAAGAGTCGGGGAGATATACGGGACGTTCCAGACGGAGGAGGGGGAAACGAGAGACTGGGAGGACACAGCTAGGTGTATTTTGGAAAGATTGGTACCGGGAGAGGAGGAGTTAGGGGAGGAAGGCGGGGAACGGGGCTGGAGAGGGGAGACAGGGGTTGATAGGCGTTTCAGCGGGATGGAGGTGAGGGAGGCTGTACAGTCGTTAAAGAATGGTAAGGCCCCGGGACCTGATGGCGTTAGGGCGGAGGTAGTAAAGGCTTTGTTTGAAGTAAGGCCGGCTGTTTTAGTTGGTCTTTTAAATAGGTGTTTGAGGGAACAATATTTTCCGAAAGCCTGGAAGGTCGCGAAAGCAGTTATGCTGCTTAAAAGCCGGGATAAACCTGTGGACAGTCCTAAGGCGTATAGGTTGATTTCGCTGCTGGATGTGGTTGGAAAGGTCTTGGAGAAGCTGATTTGGGGAAGGATTCGGGAATGTTATGAGGAGAAAGGATGGGCTAGTGAAAGGCAGTTTGGGTTTAAGGAGGGTTTGGGAACGATGGATGCGCTAATAACGTTGCAGAGGGTTGTGAATGACGCGAGTGAAAAGTATGTCCTGGCGGTATTTGTCGATATCGCTGGGGCATTCGATAATTTGAACTGGGGGGTGATTATGAGCAAACTGCGTGAGTTGGGAGTGGGAAGTGGTGTGTATGGTGTGATGAAGAGTTATCTGAGTGATAGGGAGGTTGTGATGGAATCGTCGGCTGGAAGGGTGTCTAGAAGGATGTGTAAGGGATGCCCGCAGGGCTCAATCCTTGGACCGAGGCTCTGGAACCTTGTTTTTGACGGGATTTTCGGGGTTGAGGCCGAGGGGATAGAAATGATCGGATACGCGGATGATTTGCTGGTTATAATTAAGGGCGAGAGCAGGGCTCAATTGGAAATAAGAAGTGCTACTGTTATGGAGAAAATGAAAGACTGGCTGGATGGGGTGGGATTGAAGGTTGCGGAAGGAAAAACGTTTGCGATGTTGCTGAAGGGGAAGCTGCTGAGGAATCCGGTACTGCGATTCGGTGATGCTTCGCTGCCTTGTCGTAAAAAGGGTAAATATCTAGGGGTGGTGTTGGATGATAGGTTTACTTTTATGGAACACTTGAAGTATGTTGAAGACAAATTGGCGAGGTTGGTTGGCATGTTGCGCCGAGTCATGCGGTGTGAATGGGGCCTTAAGCCGCCTGCGATGAGTGTGATTTATGAGGGAATGTTTTTGGCAGTGGTCTTGTATGGGTGTGGTTTGTGGGGATTTAGAGTCGGGAACAGCCACTTCCGTCGGAAGCTGATTGCGATACAGCGAATGGCGTTGTTGGCTATGGTACCGGCGTGTAGAACAGTTTCGAATGATGCGTTGCATGTGTTGGCGGGGAAGCTTCCGTTGGATTTGGCTGTTGTGCGGGCGTACTTGCGGTTTTGGTCTGGTAGAGGAGAAAGTAGAGAGTTGTGCGGGATAGAGGGACGAACGGGGGTGTTGCCGGGATGGAAAAAGAACGAGAAGAAGAGAGTGAAAAGACTGACGATGGAAGTGTGGCAGGATCGGTGGAATAATTCGGATAAGGGTAGGGTAACGTTTGAAATTGTTCGAAGGGTGAAGGAGGGCCAAAAGCCGTGGTTTAAGCCAAGCGTGACCCTGTGTTTTGTGTTAACGGGCCATGGGTCGGTGAAAGCGAAGTTGTATGAGTTGGGTTTGGAGGAGTCAGATAAGTGTGTGTGTGGAGAAAGGGAGACGCTTGATCATTTGTTAAATGTATGTGTGTTATACAATGAATGTAGGAGAGAATTTATGGAAAGGTTGAGAATAGATAGGATGGAGGATATGGATTGGGGTAGGGTTATGGAGGAGGAGGAGGTTTTTAGGGCTTTAAAGGAATTCGCGGGAAAGTTGTTTGCTGATAGGAAGAGGATGATGAGGTGATGCTGTGGGAAATAGGGGAGAGAAGGATGGAACCTGAAAATAGAAAACTTACCCTGTGATGTCCGTGATGTTGCTGGGGGATGATGGCGCTTCGGTGTCCGGACCCTCGCAAGCAAATAAACAAATCTAGTCACATTTTAAGGGAATGCGTTTTAGATATTTTACTTACCGGGCTGTGATGATTTGTACGCTGCGACCTCTTTTGGTGTTGACCTGCAACAGAAAGAAGTAGGGTTAATGGGGTTGCCATCTAGTCCTTTTTCTAGTTAAGCCTTAAGGTCATCTAGTCAAATTGTGATTAATTTACATTTTTAGTTATATTCGTTCTCTTATGATTTTAAATCAGATGTGAATATAGATGAATGTGTGAGTGGTTGGTATCTTTTTGTTTTTTTGTTGCTGATATTATTTTGCGTGGAATGATGAGTTTATTTTTTATTGCATGTTTAGAAGAGAAAGCGGTAAAGGGCAAAGCCCAAATACCGTATTTGATATGAAGTTTTTGTTAGTGTTTGTTTGTTTGTCCCTACCTACTATCTAGCGAAACCACTGCCAAGGGAACGGGCTTGGAAAAATTAGCGGGGAAAGAAGACCCTGTTGAGCTTGACTCTAGTCTGGCAATGTAAGGAGACATGAGAGGTGTAGCATAAGTGGGAGACTTTGTCGACGTTGAAATACCACTACTTTCATCGTTTCTTTACTTACTCGGTGANAATATCCATATTGAAAAACTAACGATTTTAAATTTAGGAAAATATTACGAACGTAATTACTCTGTCAACAATTCACGCGTAACTAAGTGTATTCCCCGTGCAAAAGATAAGCCAACTTTGCGCACACGGGTAGGCTATTCTGTTACGTTAACAAAAAAAAATTTTACGGTTCATGTCTGACTAGATTATAATGAACATTTTGAAGATATTTGTGATTAGTTTAAAGATAAAACATATATCTATTTTTGTCGTCGTAATTTAGTTATTTGTCCTTATGTGCGGCGATCCAATTCGCAAACTGGGTACACTCAAGGATCTCCCGTCCTCAAGGATCCGTACTCTCGGCGATCCAATTCGCAGACTGGTTCACCCACTTATAGGGAACGTGAGCTGGGTTTAGACCGTCGTGAGACAGGTTAGTTTTACCCTACTGATGACCGGTCGTTGCGATAGTAATCCTGCTCAGTACGAGAGGAACCGCAGATTCGGACATTTGGTTCACGCACTCGCTCGAGCGGGCGGTAGTGCGAAGCTATCATCCGTGGGATTATGCCTGAACGCCTCTAAGACCGTATCCTTTGCCGATGTTTCGTGTAGGTGTTAGGCTGCTTGCTTGGACATTACCGCCGGGCGATAACCGATTTTACATTCCCACTGAATAGTAGGAACTTGGAAAAAAAATTTTTTTTTTCCGTTTTTTTTTTTGGTCGTTTACATTCTTTTTTTTCTGCGTTCTTCGATGATGGTTGATTTCGTCTCACGTTTGATACCTGGGTCGACCGTTCCTTCGTGACCTTTCCGTTGATTATGGTTGGTATCTTTAGTATTCGTATCCTTACGATAGTTTCTGAATTTCGCCTCGACTCCGTTTAGCGGAGTTTTTTTGTTCTCTTGTTACTGGCTATACTAACTAACAATCAATAATACGGTAGGAGTTTTTATGTGAATTATATTTGTTTTATAGCATGTATTTACTTTTTGCTTGTAATATTGTCCTGTAATTGATCTTTGTTGCAAATTAAAGTGAATTATTATTATTATTACTGTTGGTGATATTTTGGGAACAACCTGTATTTATTGAAATACGACGGACTGCGAACGGAACGTGTGTGTAGTGTGCCATCCAAAATTGTTTCAAATGATTTGTTACAAAATTTACAAAAAAAAAACAAAAACAATTGTTAAATAACATTTTACCGGTACATATTTTATTTGGCCCTCTCCGTCCATTACAGCCTAAAACTAACAATATAAAATAATAAAATAGATAATAATAAGATGTCGAATCGAATGGTAATAAGCGAAAGCGGTTTAAGTAAGTAAAGTTATCCTTAAATTTACGATTGAACAGGTAAAAACTGCTATTATATTTATGTTATAAATTATCGAAAGAAATAATAGTAATAACACAAAAAAGGCAACGGCACGCGGTGTTCCCAAGCGGTCACCAATCCAAGTACTAACCGCTTAACTTCTCGGTGATCGGACGAGAACCAAAATCAAAATAAACTTTATTAGTTGTGATTGTTGTTTTTTTACAAATGTATTACATACTATATATATATATATATGTATATTTACAATGTAAAGTCTTATGATTAACATGAAACAAATTTGTCATAGCCTATTAAATTTACTTAAATATTTTATTTCGCGGGTATTTGCTGGGGGAGAGACAATTAGGTGGGGAAATAAATATATATACAGTAGGGGAGCAAAAAAGAGCCGCGTACAATATTTTTACTCGTATGGTGGGTGGCAAAACCATTTGTTATTTTAAGTCTACAGTGAGGCTGAACTATTAACTAATTTTTGACCCTGTTAATAACACCCGAATTGTGTTATTTTCCTCGGAGTGTTGTCTAAGTTTTTCTAGTATTATTTTTTCTACCACTTTGGAGATTGCAGGAAGGAGAGATATGGGTCGGTAGCTAGAGGGAACGGTGTGATCTTTGTTTGGTTTTGGGATAGGGACAATAATTGCTGATTTCCAGGACGAGGGAAAGTGTTGGTATTTTCGGGTGTATCTGGTGATATAGGTGAGCTGCATAATTGCTTTTTAGGGAGACTTTGGAAAAGGATATTTTGTATTTCATCATTACCAGGTGCTTTGAAGGGTTTTAGGTATTTGATAATTGTCTTTATTTTAGAGGGGGTTATAAGGTGTAGGTATGAAGGAGGATCGTATTCCTGGGCTAGGAATTGGTGGATATGTTCTTCAATTAGTTTTTGCTGGTCACAGGTGTTGGGCTTCGGTTTATGAATGTCTGAGAAATAGTTGGCAAGGAGGTTGGCTTTCGCATGATCCGTGAATTTGTATGAATTTTGGGTGGCTAGGGCTGGGACAGGTTGAAATTTACTTTTAATTTTAGGGATTTCATGCCAGATAGAGTTGTCTTCTGGGTTTAAGGAAATTAGTTTACGATTCCAGATTTCATTTTTATGTTTGGTTAGTTCGGTTTTGATTTTACGGTTCAGGGAAAAGTATTGATTTTTAATGTTTGGGTTTCTGGTTCTTTGATAGAGTCGTCGGAGACGGTTTCTTTCTTTGATAATGTTAGCTATGTGTGGGGGCGTTGGAGGGTTTAGGGAAGGTTTTTTGGTAAGAGGAATTGCAAACTTTTTGGCGGATTGAATACTTTTGGAGAGAAGGAGGATTTCTTCTTCAAGACGGGGGATACTTTCAATGATAACCCATCCAAATAACCCCATTTGGATAGAACTATTTATGTAATTTCTGAAGAGGGGCCAATTCGCAAGTTTATAGTTGGGGATTTTGGAATTAGGTTGGAAGTTTTTTGTGGTGGTACCTAGTTTGATAACGATAGGTCTATAGTCTGAGGAGAGTTCATCGAGTGCAATAGGGTTAGGAAGTTGGGTTAGATTTTTGGCTATGGCGATATCTATTGTTGTGGGGGTCATACCGTTTGTTGGGAAGTGTGTTGGGGTTTGGGGTGCTAGTATAAATGCATTATGGGATTGGATAAAATTATGGAGGGTTCGTCCTTTTGTATTGTTAATGTGACATCCCCACGAGGGATGGCGGGCATTTAGGTCGCCTAGGATAAGGATTTTATTATATGGGATGATTATTTTACTGAGGTCGTTATCTGTGAGGGGGGAATTGGGGCTACTATAGATTGTGGTGATGTGAAGGTTATCCTGGAGTTTTACGGTTATTATGTATAGGGCACTCTTACCCCGCCGATACATCATCACCAGCTATTTAAGAAATGCTTTTCATACCAAATAACACATATTCTTAATGATTTGCCATCAACTATAAAATGTAGCACTTCTTCAAGGTAGTTTCGTCACAGAATGAAGGGCCGCTTGTCTCAAATTCAGAATGCATTGTAGGGCGACAGGGATCGGGCAGTTTACGCTTAGTAATTAATTATGATTTCGCCATCGGGTCTTTTTCTTTTCTTATTTCTTTTCGTTTTTCTTTTCTTATTCTATCTTATATATTTAGAATTAGTTTTATTAGGTTTGAGTGGAAGAGCAGGTGCTGTTACGGCTGCACCTGAACTCCGCCTAATTTGTCCTGGCTTAATTTATAATAATTTTATGTATATATACATCTAATGGGACAAATAAAGTCATATTATTATTATTATGTCTAGGTGGGAGAGGTCAGGTTGAGGAACGTTGATATGTGAAATTTCTTTTTTGATTAGAATGGCAACTCCTCTGGAGCGACGGGAGTAATCTTTTCGATGAATAGTGTATCCGGGAAAGGAGATTTTATCTAAAGGAATAAGTTTTGTTTCGTTAAGGAAAAGGATATCAATTTTTAGGCGGTTTAGGAATTCTTTTATTTCAGATATCTTGGGAATGAGGTTGTTGGAGTTGAGGTGTACTATATTTAAGCTATACATTGGAAAGGTTATTAGCAAGAGTTTGAGTGGCTAGCATGAGTCCTCCAGGAGATTTATCTTTTAATAATTTATCTCTAAATTGCTTCAGAGCGTGAACAAGTGCTGTAACATTTATTAGGTTATTAATAGAGCGCGGCGAGTTTAGCTTAACGGCTCCAAAACTCGCCCCACCCGAGCCTCGATGGTCAGAGGCGTCGCCGTAAGGCGACTAGCGTGTATCACAGAACGAGATTTTTAGTACTCTTTCAGTATTGTACACAGGTGTATGGTTAGGTTTTGATTTATTTCTCACGCAAGTGTATGCCAGTTTCTTTTATTTCCGCTCTTTATTTTATTTCGCTATATTCCTCTTTAGTTTAAATTGAGTTTAGTTCATTGGTATCTTTAGTTTAAATTACATTTTTAGTTTTAAAGTAATTTTTACTTCTTATTGCTGCTTATTGCGTTTCTTTTTATTTTTTACACTTTTATAATGGGCTCACCGATACAAAATTTAGAGGGATGGATACAAGGTTGTCATGGGCTGTCTGTTTTACGCGAAAATGCAGTATTTTGTGAGGTTTGTTCCACTACCATAGTGTGCCGGCAAAAGAGATACGTGGTTCAGCACATGGAATCTGCAAAACATATGAAAAATAGCGACCCATTAAAAGCGTCGTATGCAGAGGAATTGTGCGAGGCATTCTTGTCGTCCGACATTCCACTAACTAAATTAAAAAATCCTATGTTAAGATCTTTCTTAGAGAAATATACTCAACAAAAAGTACCTGATGAATCGACTTTACGTAGGTTTTATCTACCTAAAGTATATACTAAGGTGATGGAACCTATCAAAAATAAATTGTTAAACAACTATATATGGATAAGTGCCGATGAAACTACGGATATTGTTGGTAAATGCGTTGTTAACGTGCTAGCAGGGATTATGCATCCTACTCAGGTGTCTCAACCTTACTTAATAGCTACAAAAATGTTCACTAAAGTTAACGCAGACACAATAGTAGCAGTTATCTGCGATAGCATAAGGCCTATCGTAAAAAAAAAATCCCGAAAAGGTTCTCTTGTTTGTCTCAGATGCAGCAGCATATATGTTAAAAGCGGGTTAATTGCTGAAGACAATGTATAAAAATATGTTGCATATAACCTGTATCGTACATGGTCTCCATCGAATATGTGAGTTTGTCAGAGATCATTTCTCAGATCTTGACAAATTTATTAGTTTGTGCAAGAAAATATTTTTGAAAGCTCCTCTACGAGTTTCAATATATAGAGAAATGTGCGAGAACTTCCTCCTTCACCCGTAATCACTCGTTGGGGAACATGGTTGAAGCTTGCATTTTTTATGCAGATAATTTTGAAACCGTCACAAACTGCATTTTACAGCTCGAAAATGATGCTACAAGCATTATACAATGTAAAAAAATGAGCCAGATTTGCATGAGCAATTCAAATATGTTAAAGAAAATTTTTCTAAATTAACAGACAAAATAAAATACTGTTGGCGAACGACAATAGGTGGCGTGTAGAGACGAGATGTACGAACTAAAACAAGTCGGTGTGCATCATCGGAAGAAGAAGGAAGTGTCGTGTGGACCAAATAATGTATAGCGTTTAGTTTAATCAGTTACATATTCTTTTTTTGTGTTCTAAGTAAAACCAATATATCTGTTACAAGAAAGCTGACTTTAATTTAACGAATAACAATTGCAGCGGTGAGATAAATATCTGAAATCAGTGTAAAACCTGTGGTAAAACGGTGAAGCGCGTACGTGCCGAGCGACGACATGGCGAGACAACACATGTGTCGGGTTCGATTTTTATAAGAACAAAGGACGTTTATCAGGTGAACTTTATTTTTATTTTACGATGGAAAGTTTGTCAAATAATCCTACAATTAATGCTAATATTAAATCGGCACCAGCGCATGCAATAAAAGCCATACATAGATTGATTTTTGAATACGATGGCGACCGAAGAAATCGACAAAGATTAAGAGAGTTTCAAGGGTTCTCATTTGACGAAGACTCCGATGATTTTAACAATAAATTAAAATACATCAAAGAGAACCTAACGCTGAAAGATCTGGTTGCATGTTGTTGTGTGTTACATGTCGATTTTGATAGTGTTACTGTCGACGAGATACCGAAGAAGGTTTGCATGACCTTGAGCGATTTGAATAAATTAGCGTTGAGTATGAAAGCTACCGAAGAACACGAAAAAAGCAACAGCAGAGGTAAGAGTAATGAAGAGATGCAGGAAAACGATGATACTGATGACAACAATGGAGACGCCGCACAGTGGTTCAAAACGCGAAAAAGTGACGCATAGAGGTAAAAAACAAATTTACCCCTAGGTAATTTTGGAAAGTCCCTTTTATAAATAACACTTTTTTCTAAGAATTACTTTTACTCAAAGTCAATTATATGCAAATCTACCTGAGCAACATGGATTTCCTTATAAGGGCGCAGGGCAAGTTATTCGGTCACTTTGTCTCAGCGCTTCATTGGTATACTTTCAGTTAATTTTGTGACGTTTTGAGTGGTAGTAATTTTTGAAGAAAATATGGATTTCAAGGTTTTAGGTAAGTATTATCATATGTATATAACAGTTTTTCAATTGATGTCTTGATTGCCAGTTAACATTATGAGAAAGTATATCATGAATTTTGACGATTTTGAGGTTTTGAACTATAATAAGTCTTGACGCCCGCCTACGCCCGCTTTGAATGTTGATCGTAAAAATAGTTTAAAGTATTACGTATTTCGTGGTGTATGATTTAGACCCGCCACGATCCGCCTGTCGAAAATATTTTGCATTTTATCACCACATCTCCGTAAAACACGCAATTATTAAGTAAATAAGGCTTACTAAATTTTGAAGCCGGCTTAAGCCCACTTTGGTTATTGATTGTAAATATAGTTTTAAGTATTACCTTATCCGTGGTGAATGATTTAAAACCACCTCGATCCAACTTTCGAAAATATTATGCATTTTATCACCACATCTCCGTAAAAAACGAAACTATTTAAAACTAACAACTACATATTTCTTAAAAGGCTCATTAATTTTTTGGTAATAATATGTTTCAGATCATATTCTGTATACCCTTTTTAATACCTTTTTTTATGCGATTGTTTTTGTTCATTTATTTGTTTATTATTTATTACAGCTGAAATCACGCGTATAGATCTATGCAATAAATTTCTTAAGGGTGGTTTTAGCAATAGAACCGAAACGGAGGTATTTAACGAAATACTAACATACATGAACGGGCGTGGCTTTACTCCAAACGAAACCCAAATAAAATCTTTTTTAAAGAAATGGGCAGAAAAATGGAGAAATTCTGGACATTCTTGGGAAAAATTTATTATTAAAAATCAAAGTTGGTTAGATGACAAACCATTTAAGAAGTTATCTGATGAGAGTGTGTGAGAAGCTGGACCTTCAAAACGAAAATGTTTTGCAGATTTGTCAACTTCTCAAAAAAATAGAGCAACCAAAGGTAATAGTTCAGCACGTGTGTGATATAATGTGACTATAAACTTAACTTTTAGAAATAAGAGATAGTTACACATCTGAAGAATTATCATATGCAGCTACATCTGCACTTAGGCAAGAACACAAAATAGATGCAGCAAAAGCTGTAAAAATGGCTACTCTAGTCCCCGAAGACGTATTGTCTGCCGTAGGGCGCAGTGTTCCTGAACCATTTACCCCAGAAGAAGCAATAGCTTTATTTATTATAAATGGTAAACAAACAAAGGCTCAGTATCAAAATATGCGTTCAGCAGCCTTGTGGAAAAGTAATATTAATTTTATTAAGTAAGCGCACCTAATTTACTTTATTGCATTTATTTTATAGAAGTTGATATTTATCCAACATACCACGAGATACTAAAAGCCAAAAAAGAAAGCTATCCTATTTTAAATCCAGAGTATTTTTCGGAAATGGAGGCAAAGGTATCTCTTCAACATCTGGTGGATAGAACAGCCGAAAGAATTTTAAAAAATATACCCATAGAAAATTGCCCAAACAAGTTAAACATAACGTTTAAATGGGGTATGGATGGCAGCAGTGGTCATCCTGAGTTTAAACAAAGGTTTATTAACCCTGAAAATTCGGATGCCACCGTAATGTGTACGCACGCATTACCCTTATTCATAGAAGGTGATAAAATTTTAGTTTGGAATAATGAATCTCCTAATTCGTCAAGGTATTTTTTCGTATAAAATATTTTAAAGCAGTCTCTAATCATGAGTTTTTAAAATTTAGTCTATGTAGGCCAATACGGATGGCATTCTGTAAAGAGGACCAAAATTCTATAATGGCAGAATACACGAGGATGCTGAAAGAAATAGATAATTTAAGACCATCAAAAATTAAGATGTCAGAGACATATGAGGTGGAAATGACCCATACTTTTTTTACTTTTTACTTTTTTTTTTTATTCACCATGATAAATGGAAAAGTTATGACGCCAAATGCGTTAAAAGATTTTTAAATCAAAACCAAAAAAAATTAACGAAATTTTCAACAAGGACAAAACTAGTTTTATCACCCTGAGATGTACGCGAGTCCTCGACCGGCTCAGTGAAGAAGGGAAGGGTATTTATATGGCGCCACACAGTTACCCCGCGTACAACACGAACTGTGACGTGAGATGATGGAGTATGGTGATATAAACAAATAACACAACAAAACATAAACGCTCAACAAAATAGGTTTTGAGTTGCAGACAAAATTTATTAAAACTCCCGTAAATAACAGGTAAGTAAAGAAAAATAAACTAATAACAAAATTATAAAACCGTAAAATTTTAGGTTCAAACAACAAAAAAAAACTATATTGATGTTTGCGAGCTTTAAAAAAAATTAAAGTCAAAACTAAAAGGAAATTTAAATTAAAATACCAAAAAAATGAAAAATTAACCCGCGTCTGACTCCGTATGGTTGAGCTCAACGTGAAATCAAAAATTATAAAAAAATCAACGCCAAAAATAGAATTAAAAAAAATCTCGCCAAACAAGAATTTACAAAAAAAAAATTGAAATGATATTATAAAAAAAAATGAAAAGGTTTAATGTTCCAATGATTAATTAATTTAAAGATTTTCTTAAGGAAAATCAAAAAAATAAAAAAAATATATAAGATACAAATTCTTCAATGACCAAAATAATAGTATGTTGTTCTATCTGACCTTTACTCCAAGTCTTGATCACCGGCCCGATTAGAAAATAAATCCTCAGCAACAAATTCTGATGACTCAGGAAAGGTAAGGTAATATTCTTTGTTTGGTTCCAAAAAAAAAATAATTAGAATCTTTAGGATGTAATGGAAATTATACCCTTGGACAATGGTTCCAAAATACCAATAAAAAAAAGTTGTTCCAATAAGAGATGCCAAAAGTTGCTCCCCTTAATAAAAACCTGGATATAGAAATTAAAAAATTAAACGTGGAAATATTAGATTTAAGAATTTTTGTTTGTAGGATAGTTTTTCTTTTTAAGTAGTTAGTAATTTTTTTTAAGTAGTTAGAAAAAAATTTTTTTTTAAAGTAGTTAGAAATTTTTTTTTGAAAGATAGATTTAGTAGATTGTTAGTTTAAGAACCAAAAGAAAAATATAAAAAGGTGAACGAATATGCCAAAAACTAATTAATAAAGACCTTACAAAAATGGTTACCTCTGATGTTCGAGGTTTAACCAGAGGACAGAAGAAAATATAATGAAATACGTTAAAATCCGGAATCTCCGTACAATTTGGTAAAAGAAAAACACTTTTCCAAAACTTTATTTCGAGTGATGAATCCCACAAATATGGATTAGAAACAAAATTTTACACCAAAACCAAAAATGGCGAATCAACCAAAATTTCTTTAACACTCGAGAACACGTATTGCTCTGGTAATATAGTGAGAAAGAGAGAGGCCAAGAAGAAACTTGAACGGTCTTTTATACCCAAAATCGAAAATATCTAAAAAAAAATTACGTCTGCGCAAGATAACATCATGAATCATGAACGACACCCTCTCAAAAGCAAAAAGGAGAATTTTAAAGTGATAGGAGTTAAAAGGGAAAAAAAAAGGAATACTCAGAATATGTTGCTGAAAGAGAAAACAATAAAATGTTATAAACAAACAAAATGTAAACAAAGTAAATAAAAATAATAATAAGTTTCCGAATGTATGCAACTCATAACCCATTACACATAAACAAGTCACCCACACATAACATAAAAATTTCGGAATGTAACATTCTCCTCTTTCCCACCAACAGAAATTTTATCAAAATTTCTTTAATAAAAAAAACTTAAGAGTCCCGAAGAAGAAAGAAAAGCATTAACAAAGAAAGACACAGATAAAAAGAAAACTGTAAGGGTTGGTAAAGGTACAAGTAGGTTATCTACATAAGTATGGTCGTTCGACACGTTCCCGACGCAATAACTGGTTATAAGTTATAACCTAACCTAGCTCTGAATTCGCCGGATTAGATTCACGAACGTACGGCTTCAGATGTGTGACATGCCAATGGCCTATCAATGGATTCCCGTCCATATCCTCCAACGAATAAATTTCAGGTGAGATCTTTTCCCTTATTTTATACGGTCCTACAAATTTGTTCAACATTTTAGCCGCGATCCCTCGCGATGCATCAGACAATGTGAAATTACGACGCTAAACTTCATTACCAATTTCGTATTCTAACGTTCTGTGACGTAGATTATATCGTCCGACCGCTTTTAACGTCGCTTGTCTCACACGCTCATGTATTTCCTTAAACAATGAAGGAAACGCTTGTTCCCTCTTTTGAACATCAAAATCAACGTTCCCCACTCGATCCGCATAAGAATCTCCTCTCAAAACCATCTCCCGTCCGTAATTGATGAAATATGGCGTATAACGCGTTATCTCGCTTTTCGCCGTTCGAAGCGCGCAAACAATTTTATTTAAATACAGATCCCATTTGCGATGATTATCGTTAACGTATGCTATCAGCATGGTTTTAAGTGTTCGATTTACCCTTTCGGTAGGGTTCGCTTGAGGATGATAGAACGGTGTAAATTGACTGATCACGTTGTACATTTTTAAAAGTTTACAATATAATTCCGATCTAAATTGTACACCGTTGTCGGAAATGATTTTACGGGGAACTCCATAAGTTAAAAAGACACCCTCCTCAAGACATCTAACCACCGACGCCGCCGTAGCTTGTCTTAACGGAAAACAAACGGGGAGTTTCGAGAACAAATCAGACGCTACGAGAATATTCACGAAACCACGAGTACTTTTCGGTAAAGGCCCTATCAAATCCCCGCTTATTTCTTCCCAAGGCAACGTTGCTGTGACACTACTTCGCATTTTCCCAGGAGCGTCCTTTTGTTCCGGCTTAATTCTTTGGCAAGTTGGACAACCGCGAATATAACGCATAATATCGTGACGCAATTTAGGCCAATAATATTTATCAACAACACGCGATACGGTCTTAGTGACACCCTAATGTCCACCAGTTTCCGCTGTATCGTGAAGTCTTTTCAAAATACCCAAACGTTCACATTTCGGAACCACCAAACGCCAATCGTTAATACCGAACGATAAATTTCTCTGATTAGAGTCCGTATTCTCTTAAATAACTTTCCTTCCTCGACACGATATAAAGGAAATTTTTTCGGTTTCAATTTAACATTTTCCCTTAACCGATCGTACCACGCATCTTTAACCCTATCCTTGTTTTCGCCGATTATCTCATCTACTGCCGGTACAGAACGCGACAAACCGTCTGGTATCACATGATCCTTACCATTGCGATGTCTAATGGTGAAATTATATTGTTGCAGACGAATTGACCAACGCGCCAAACGTCCCGACGGAGTCTTTAAGTTATTCAACCATACAAGGGAATAGTGGTCCGTAATAACCGTAAAATGACTACCCTCTATATACGGTCGGAGCTTTTCAATAGACCACAACACGGCCAGACATTCTTTTTCGGTGGTTGAAAACTTGCGTTCTTGCGGAGTTAAAGAACGACTCAAATAACTAATAACCTGCTCGCCCTGATCTGTTTCCTGCGTCAATACCGCGCCTATACCATAGTCTGACGCGTCGGTTCGTATAATGAACTCTTTATTGAAATCCGGACGCGTTAATATAGGAGCCGTAACCAAACATTCTTTAACTTTTGCCCATGCCTCCATACACTGTTCCGTCCACGTAAAATTTTTACAATTTTTCAGAGCCGTAAGTGGAGATGTTATCATGGCAAAATTCGGAATAAACCGTCTATACCAAGAGGCCATGCCGATAACGCGCCTAACTTCAGAAATCTTTCTAGGAGTAGGGATTTCGAGAATTGACCTTACTTTGTCCGGATCGACATGTAAGCCATTACCATCCACGACGTAACCGAGGTATCGAAGTGAATCACGAAAGAACTGACATTTATCACGGTTTAAGGTAAGACCCGCCGACAACAAACGCTCGCAAATGTGTTCCAAAACTTGAAAATGTTTTTCAACCGTAGGTGTCACGACAATAATATCGTCGAGATATACAAAGACATTAGACTCGAACTCGCTACCAATGACATCATCTATAAACCGCTGCCACGTTGCTGGTGCGTTAGTTAGCCAGAACGGCATACGGTTGAAATGAAAAAACCCGCGTCCCGGAACCGTAAAAGCAGTGTAAGCTTTGCTTTCCTTGGCCATCGGAATCTACCAATACGCGGACTTGATATCTATCGACGATAACCACTTAGCATCGCGCAACCTATCCAAAATCCACGACACTTGAGGCAACGGATAAGCGTCCGCCTGAGTGACCCGATTCAATTGCCGATAATCTATACAGAATCGGTGACCACGGTTTTTTTGGCACTAAGAGTATGGGGGAGGACCATGGGCTACAAGATTTTTCCACAATTCCCATCTCTATCATATCATCTAACTCCCTATTAACTATCTTTTGTATCGCGGGTGAAATCGGATAGTACCACTGTTTTATAGGTAAAGTTTCCGGATTAATTTTTATGTGATGTTCTACAAGTTCCGTACGACCGATTTTCTTTTCCGGTTCCAATGAAAACACGCGATTCATAAACGACGCTAACTTTTGTTCTTCTACCGCATTTAGAGCTGTTCGCGACTGCAAGCTATCTATGTTCACTATCGGGGGATGATTCGAAAAGGACCAGTCCCCTCGTCGGAGATCAGGTATCAAACCCATCCGTTTCCAAAAATCTATGCCCAGTATTAAGGTGTGTCGCAAATCAGGAACTAAAAGTACCGGAATAATTTTTGTTTGTCCCTCTAAACTAAATGGTACATTAACTATACCCTCAACGTTACACTTTGAATCGTTCGCAACCGAACACTTTACGCTAGTGATCTGAATCGGAAGACCTAAATTTTTCACTATAGATATACCATGTTCTCCCATAACCGTTTGACTCGCACCAGAGTCCAATAAGCCCGTAATCTTTATTCCCATAACATTAACCGTTAAATAAGGTCTTTCATCACCACGTACGCATGAAAATACAAAATCTAGGAGTACCTCGATCGGCTTTTTACTGGACTGATTACGACACCGACCTACCGTCGCATCACTTGTCCGTTTCCCGAACACTTTCGGCAATTCCTCGTAATAACATCCGGCGCCCCACATCGATAGCAATGAACCCTTTTAGGAGCTCGACAATCAATAGCGCGATGGCCGTCTCGCTGACAATTCCAATATTTAATCGCGTTCCCGAATGACTGATTACTCGTAGATACGGTAGCTACATAAGAATTTCCCGCATGGAAGTAAGCTAAATCCGGTTCTAATACTTTACTCATCCGCGAAGGTGGCACATAATTGTCTACCGCCGCTTTAGTAATTTCTAATTTTCGTCCGAATTGCAGTAGTTGTTCTACCGAATCGATTTCTTCGAGAGCTAATTGTCGTTGAAATGACGGATTCAAGTTCCTACGGATTAAATTAACTTGGACGCTTTCGGGTACCTTCATGGTCAAACGCGCAAACAAATTTTTCATGATAGAAATAAAAATACCGATAGATTCGCTAGGACCTTGAGTACGATGACGAATCTCGTCGTACAACTGATCGTCATAATCAACAGGTAAGAATTCCGCCCGCAATCCTTCCACTAATTGTTCCCATGTCGCGAATTTATCTCGGTTGGCTCGGTACCATATCAGCGCTTAGTCTCTAAATAGATCGACCGCAGAGAGAAATAACATTACTTTCGGCACGCCCCGCGCCACACGCAATTCATTTACCCTTTCGAGAAAGGCGCTTAACGAACTTTTTCTATCTCCGGCAAACGTAATACCCCATTTATTTATCGGTACTAATTTTGAAGTATTTGAAGCCACTTCGTCTTCGGAAGTTTCACTAGAATTCGACAATTCCTCAACCAAATTTACTATACTTATATTGTGATTCG